AAATATATTTATTGATTAACTCACAATATCTAGGTTCATACAGTTAAGTCCTAAACTACTTTATATCTATCTTATATCTGTAACTATCTTGGGACATGGCTTATCATGTCTTGTGAACTCATCCTATATCTCAGTACAATCCAATGTTCAAAACTGTTTTAATAAAGACAATGGAGTAATTTCACTGGGTGGGCAGCCCTAAAAGGTTTCAGGTTGTTCAGTTGGTAGGATTTGAATGGTGAGAAGTGAGATGCTTGCCTCAGAGGGATATAACGCTCTGTTAGTACCTTTATTTCCACCTGAAATAACAAGAGAATCAAGCCCCAACTGCTTGATTTCTTGCTATTGTTTGGTGTTCTGAACTGGGGTTGTTATGGAGCTTGCATAATCAAGACTAGGAGACTAATATGGCCCTGAATTGGCCATTTGAGTTCTAAAGCACTTCATGTACACCTTGTGGGTGGCTCAAGATTCTTCTTCACTTTTCTGACTGTGTTCATATTGAGACCTATTAGTCAGAATGCTACATAAGAAATATTATTGGTCATGATAGAACCCTGTATATTCCCCATGTTATTAATACAACAGGTCGCATGCTTAATGTCATATGAGAGTAAGCTATCTTATAGGGAAAAATGACATTCATTTATGCATGAGAAATCTATATTTTAGGCCTAATATTTCAGTACACAGATTACAGTGAGGCAAATAAGCTAAAGGCAATCCATCTACAGACAATTATTGAAACTGTCACAGTAAGATTAAGTTGTAATATAAGTATATAAGTACATAAGATAAAATAGTAAACCTACGGTGATATGGGCAGCAAACAAATTTAATAAATAAGTAATATTTACCTGTCAAATATTTAACATATAGCACACCTTCAAAAGAAAAACAGCAAACAATTTCAAAAAGAAAAACTAATTTCAACAGCAAGATTTTCCCAGTACAAAGCCATGAAAATTTGTCAATAAGAACACTTCATGGCTTCGCCCAATGCCTTCAGAAAGCACAACTTGCCAAAAAGAGATACCTCTGCAAAACAGCCATTTTGTATGTCATCAACTTTCAGCAAATCCCAGCAGGAGTGAATATTGCCCTTATCAGTAAGAACTCCTGCTGATTCTAACTTTGTGCCATTTCTCTTTGTTTCAAGCATAGCAGAAGAATCATCATTGACTGCAGTGGGTTTATATATATATAATCATATAAATTATATATGCATAATTTTGCTCTAGGAAAGGGAGGAAAAGAAGGGGGGAATGATGTGACAGATGCTAGTGACATTATTGAATGCTCTTCTGATAAACACTTCAGTACCATAGTGATACTCATTAAAAAATCTGAATAAAACAGAAGTATACAGAAAAAAAGCAGACTTAATTATCCAGATGGTTTCCATTCATCGTTTATATAAAACATTGTATAATTTATCCTTCAAAACACAAACTTTTGTTAAGAATGCTTTCAATGTCAACTACTTTTTTGAATATGAAAATCAACTGTCAATCCTACCAGGTAGATCAGATCAAGAAATCAATACCACCGGAAGCCTGGATCTACAATTATTCAGCATGACTATAAATAACAAAATTTTGCAAGTTTCATTGTGTTGTACTTCCCTGTCCCCACCTCTACTTATGCCCCAATGAATCAGGGATGCGGCTGATTTGAGCCACTTCCAAATATTACTTTTGTTTCCCAATATTACCTTTGCTTAATAAATGTTTCAGTTCCCTTTGCTTAGGTAATGACCGTTGCCTATTTTTGTCAAGGTCATCTCTTTAACTTCTTATACATTAACCTTTGGTGGAGATATATTTTAATTTCATTGGAGAATATGGCTACATTTTTAGACCACTGTTTTTAATATTTTTAATAAGATACAGAAACATTATCTGGAAGTTACTTCATATTTTAAAAGGAATCAAGTTATTAGATTTGAAAAGCAAAACTTGAAAATTATTTTTGCAATTATTGATGAGAGAAAGAAAAAAACAGTAATTAAATCTTCTTTAAGCAGTGAAATGCAGTACTTTTGCCAATTATTGTTAGAGAACGATTTGGAAGAATTTAAATACCAGTCTTCTAGCAATTAATTCATAAAATATATCTTTAAATAATGTTGAAAAGCAAAAATAGAATAAGAGGTAAAAAGGAAATATATCTGCTTTTAAAGAGCCATATTATTAAGAATGTTACTCATCGTGTCAGCAGGTTAGAACAGGGGTCTCCAACCTTGGCAACTTTAAGCCTGGCAGACTTCAACTCCCAGAATTCCCAGAATTCTGGGAGTTGAAGTCTGCCAGGCTTAAAGTTGCCAAGGTTGGAGACTCCTGGGTTAGAAGGTTGACCAAATAATCAATATGTCTGAGTAAGATCATAATGTGCACTAGTACATCAGCATTACATGTGGTTTTATTGTGAAATGTGTGCAAACAATTTCAGGAATTTCTATTGCCCTCACAAAGAATATATATATATGAAAATCATGCGATTTCTGTGATTTAACAGAAAAGATACAAAAAAGCATACTGGGTGGAAGTATGAACAGCTTATTCTTTTGAGGACTACAATGGGCAATATTTGAGGGGGTCTGTAGTCACAAATAGGCCTTCCAACCTTTTCGAGGACTGTATGAGGCAAAACAGTGACATGCTGATGTCATTCAAAGGGTTCAGTTGAAAAATTTCATCTCCTTTTTGTTGGGGTAGTTGGTGTTATAGCAGGGATGAGACCAACTCTTGGAAACAAATAGCTTCATATCTCTTTCTCACATGGTTTTTCTCTTCTTTTTCTTATCAGTCATTGCTAAAGTAGTCTCATTGTCAATCTTTCAAAATCAAATTGGGTAAGTTACTTCATTTTTAAAAGATGAAGTAGTTCTAAATACTTTTTCAATATTTTATTTAAAAAATGTTACAAGTTATGATCAGTCAGTTTGGCTTTCTCAAAGATCTTTTTCATATGTTAGCTATGTGACTGTACAGCATATGTTAGCTGCTCAAAAAAAAAAAGGACTGACACTTGTGGAGTCCAGTTAATGAACGAGCCTTACTATAATAAACTCTATCAAAAATTGAAATACTATCAATGGAGTTGTAAAACATATTTCTGCTTAAATGCCTTTATATCTATTTGAACCTTCCTTTCCCAAAACATTGGTCAACGATTCCACATTAATTTGAAACTACATCATTTGATTATAAAATTATTTTACTTTTAAAACCAAAGATAGGTGTATTTGCTGTCTGTACAAACAACATATTCTAAATCAAAATTACATTTTAACCTCAAAGACTATTGTTAAGTAGTCATTAGAATAGTAATTAGAAATATTTTTGTAAATGTTAATTGTTATTAATCATTTAGAATGTCACATAATTTAAAAATGAAGCTACATTATTAATCTTCATGGAGATTAATATGGATAGCCTTTAGAAATTACTGTAAATTATTAGCTAGAGTTGGACTAGCACATATGTGTATTGGTATGGATATGTTTTGTGGGGGGGGGAACACTTGTATGTGTTTCAGTGGCTTCCCTTTAATGGACACACAAGTCTACTTTTAATATTTTTCAACTTAATATGGTAGTGTCTTTTACCTCTCTCTCAATTGAAGATAAAAATAATCTAAGCAGAATAATTTTTGGTCAACTATAGTATTGTTCACAATACACTAATTCTAACACAAGTCATCAACTAAGCCCAGAATGAGCTATAGGTTCCAAATTTTGAATCAGTTGTTCAACATAAAAAAATGACCTAACATAACTGATTGATTTGATTCAATATTTTTAGAGCTATTTAAACTTTAAAATGTTTATTCTGATCTCCTTTAGTATGACAACATTTTCAAAAGGCCCTATGCTGTTAAACAAAAAAAATGTGGTTTTTTTCCATCTTTGATAGCATTGTCTTTGAAGAATATTGGCAAAGACATGCTTAGCAAGAAAATATTAACAGGCATATGATCAAATGTATAGGGATGAACTCCATGCATTTATTGTCTATCACAAAAGTATTTAGTCAGACAGTTCATTATCCACAACACACACACATACACACACACAATATGTGTGTGTGTTTTATATATATTATTCACGTCACTCTAAAATAGATCAGTCATGAACTGTGCGATAGCAAGAAGATAACCGAGGAAGAAGCACTGAGGTAATAGGGCAGAAAGCCGGTCTCCAGATCCTGCCTGGACAGCTCCTGGTGCTGAAAGAGCCTGGAGCTGAGCTCTCTAAGCGGCTATTAGCCCACGACTTACGGGACCCACAGGTGCAAAGACAAGGTACGCCTCCTGGGCAGCAAGAAGCAGGTGAAAGGGGTGGGAGGGCTACATATTATTGGGGGAAGATGGCGGCTTCTCCGAGCCCACCCCAAGTCAGGCAGCAGAGAGAACCTGGGCCTCGGAGGTACAGTGATGCCCGGGGCGAGATGTCTGAGGCAGGCGAGAAGGCGGGCGAAAGGAGTAGCCGCCAGACGCGACTGCCTAAGCCTCGCCGGCGCGAGACCCCCTTAGACCCGGCCATGCCGCCGCCACTTCCTGCTGCCGAGACCATCCGCTTCGCAGGGAGCGAGTGACAACAGCACCTGTGCGGCCATGTTGGGTGCCTGGCCCCACTCCACGCCTGGACGGCGAATAGGAGCCTGAAAAGCGGGGAGGGAGGAGAGGGGAGGGAACTCTCGGCTCTCTGCCTTCCCACCTCCGGCTAGGGTGGAGGGCGGCAGCGGCAGCCACAGCCCGGGAGGCACGACACACCGCCGAGCAGCCTCCTGCGCCGCTCCCGGGCGATCCCACCAAGGCCTTCCTGCCCGCGCGATGCCCGCCGCTAGGCTGGCAGCCCTCCCGAAAGCAGACCCTGTCCGTGGGAATGGGGGCCGGGGCAGCTTTTCCTTCCCGGCCTGGGGCGCCAGAATTTGGGGGTGGGGGAGTGAGATGGGGATGGCGGGGTATGGGGAGCAAAAGAGGAAAGTAGCGCTTACTTCAGCACGGACTGCTCCTTCTCTTCTTCCTTCTTCTGGCGGTCCATGACGGCTTGGATGATCTTCCTCTCTTCCTCCGTGAGGTGGCTGAGGTCGGGCATCTCGGGCGGAGGCGGCGGAGGCGGAGGGGGAGCAGGGCCGCCTCGGGGCCCAAGAGGAGCCGACATCTTTGGTCGAGGGAGCTTCGGCGACAACACTCTAGATTGGGAAATACTGGGCTAACTCAGGCGGAGGCCGCCGAACAAGCAGCGGGCGCCGCCGCCGCCGCCGCCGCCGCCAACGGCGCTGAGTGAAATACATACAAGTCAATACCCTTTAATCAATGGGCAGCTTAATTTATGCCCGGCGGGGTGGGGAGGGAGTGGGGGGTGGGGAGGGGAGGGGAAGGGGGGGCCGTCGCCCGTGAAGGCGGAGGGGCGAGGCGAGAGGAGCGGCGACCAACCCTCCCCTCCTCACCCGGCCACGCACCAGCCTCTCACCTGCTCGGCGGCGGCGGCGGCGGCGTGGAGGAGACCGCGGGAAGCGGCGACAATAGCGGTCGGGGGGCGCGGGAGACTTGGGGAGAGGGGAAGGGGACTTCTCCGGGGACCCGCACGGCGGAGGGTCTCGCTCGACATCCAGAAAACGAGATGGGGAGGGGGGAGGAAGGGAAGGGAAGCGGGAGGAAGGACCGGGTGGCCGAGGAGAGAGTCGGGGCTAGGCTAACCGCCTAGGGTGTCCCTCGCTTGCGGGGTGAGCGGAGGTGGCCTGGCCCCGAGGGGGCCCTCGCGCCTCCTGAGGGGCGAGCCGAGCCGAGCGGGCCGGCGGCGCGTGCTGGAGAAACGGCGACGAGGCGAGAGGAGCCCCGCGGGCGCCCTGAGGCGCAGAGCGAGGAGAAAACCCCTTGGGGGGAGGGCAAGTCCCGGCCGCCAGCAGCTCCAGCCGGCTCATAATTCCAGCCCGCTGTCCATGGAAAGGACCGTGGGGCAACGCAGTTCCAGCCGGAGGCTTTTCCCTGCCGTCGCCTTTGCTGCCGCCGCCCCTAGCGGCCGTTTATTCCGCTCGCCCCCCCACACACACATACACCGCTCCTCGGCCAGGCCCTGCCGCCGCGGCCGCCCCTCGCGGCTGCTTCGCTCGGCGGCTCGTCTCTCGGTTGCGCTGCTGCTGTTGCTGCTGTCGCTGGCCTCTCGCCTAACCCATCGCATCGCGGAGCGGACGGGGCGCGGATTAACGCGGGAATCACGGGAAGGCGCCGCTCCTCGCCTTCCTCCCCCGAGCTCTTCCTCCCTCTCTCCGTCCCCGCCGCCGCAGCTCCCGCGCGCGTCCCCTCCCCGCCGCCACCGCCAACCACGTTTCTGCCTCGTCGCCCGAGGCACGGGAAGGAGGGGGGGAAGGAGCAGGGGGGGAGACGGAAAAGGGTGAAGCCGATTCCACCAGCCGCCGGAGGGGGGCGCCCGGCAGCGACGAGTCGCGGGCAGGCAGGCCGGCCGGGCCTGGCGTGAGTGGGAGGGAGGAGGAGGAGGAGGAGGGGGGGGGGGGGGGGGGGGGGGGGGGGGGGGGGGGGGAGTCGGTAACAGAAAGAGGCGGCGCTGCGGCCGTGAAGGATGATCAAGATGGAAGCGAGGAAGGGGGAAGAGGCCCCAAACGCCGCGCTTGGGAATTGCGGGGAGGGGGGGGTTACGAGTGGGGCTGGGCCGGGAGCGGATGCAAACCGGGAGCTCAGAGGCTCTTCAAAGCTTGACGCGGATCCGCCGCCAGTCTCGGTTTAAGCGCTCTGCCACGTTTACCTTTACGGGCGCGAAGTGAAGCGGGCAGGCGGCTAACGGGGAGCAGCAGGCAGCTGCTACTTGGCCTGGGGAAGAGGTATAAAAAAGGGGTAGGTGAAGGACTGTAATAGAATAGAATGCTTTTATTGGCCAAGTGTGATTGGAAACCCAAGGAATTTCTCTTGGTGCAGATACTCTCAGTGTATATAAAAGAAAAGATTCATTCGTCAAGAGTCAAGAATCATCAGGTACAACACTTAATGATCGTCTTAGGATAAAATAAGCAATCAAATCATACTAAGAAACAGTCCATATAAATCGTAAGGATACAAGCAACAAAGTTAGTCATACAATCACAAGTGGGAGGGGATGGGTGATAAGGAGTCATGATAAGATTAATAGTAATAGTAGTGCAGACTTTGTAAATAGTCCGACTGTGTTAATCTGCATTTAGGATTATATAAAGCAGCATCGGTTGCTTTGGGGGATTCATTTGGACAGATCTGGCTTTCTAGAACTTTTAAGATTTGCGGACTTCAACTCCCAGAAAAAAGCTGGCTGAGGAATTCTGGGAATTGAAGTCCACAAGTCTTAAAGTTGCCAAGGTGCTGCACAAGTGGAATGAAAGAGAAGATGATTAGCAGCAACCGAGAGGGCTTCAGTTACACAGTAGTAACTATAATGCAGAGGTGGGAGAATTGAATGACCAGGGTAAGGATGGTTGTGAATTAAACCTAAGTCAGGAGTTCCTAAACTTTTTACCATCGTAATCTTAAGTGTAATCTTAAATGTATAACTTTCCCCCTAACAGTGCAAACACCAAATGAATACAAATGAACAGTGAAAACTATACAATGAAATTTTATTTTTAATAAAAAGCAAAGGTTGAGCCTTCTCCACTACTATATAACTCACCTGAAACTAGTAATTTTTGATAGGTTGATTTATTGTAACAATGTACGACTGAAAGGTTCTTCACGCCTGGACTCTATGTACCTCTCAAAGGAAGGTGTCCCTGATAATTTGGGAACCTGATCTAAATGGGGTCATTAAGAAACACAATGACTTGATGGCACACAATTAATGTGCAACTTTTGGGTATTTGGCCCTAAAACAACACTCACTAGTCAAAATCAAGTTATGGGACAACTGAAGAGCTTAAGTATAAATTGCAATCTTTTGTCCATAAATCTGATTTATCTCTGCTCAAGCTGAAGAACTCAAAGTTTAAACCTTGAGTGCTGCATGAAAACTGGCTTGTTACATTGAAGACTGCAACTCTGAAACTTTCCCCTAAGTTGATACAAAAGTCTACAATGTATCAAAACTTAAGGATAACAAGGTATGCCATTGTACATAAAGTACAAAATTTAGAAACTTTTTCACCAATTCATTTTGACCTGATAGCTGGCTGTGCTTTTAATTAATCAAAATGTTAGCTTTTTATACTCAAAGACAAATCTTGCTTGTAAATGTTTGTTAATCACCCCATCCTTAGTGCAGAAATATTTTTACAGATGAAAAAAAACTGGTTTCACTTCCACCTTATGACATCAAAATGATAAAACATGCATCAGTGCTAGCTCTGGAAATAGATATTTTATCACAATGTTACACACCAGTATTAGGGAGTACAGTTGATACCATAATGTAGGATTCATCATCCACCCTCCGAAGAAGAGATCTCAACAAGGCACGTTAGGAAGAACCATACTTGGCAAGAGGTTTTCTCCCATAAAAATTGGACTAATTGAAATCCTGTTTGAAAGATTTACACTTCATTTTTTGAAAATGTAATCTCTATCAACATTCTTCAACTTGAATTTTTGAATAGATGTGTATGTTTAATACATAGTGCCACTCCTTTCTTGAACTTCTATTTATTTTGAACAAATTGTATTCCCCAATTAATGTAGCTATTTATACAATATATAGTATATGTGTTGGTTAAGTTAAGTCATTTCACCAGAATGTGACTATAACTGTTAAATTATTTTTGCTTTTCTCCACAATATTAAATACATAAACTTTATGAGCTTTCCAAATTTTCTTAGAGTTGTTTAATAACACCTTAGTTTTTGTTTCCAGATGTATAATATAGTACTTTACAAAAGTTTGGGAATACACATACATATATTATTGTATATATGTTATAGTTTCTTCCAATTCTTATTTGCATGTTTTTTTACTTTTATATTTTAGTTTATCTTAGTAATATTTAATAAAAATAAATTAAAAATAAAAATATGCAGTTAATATAGGATTAAATAATTTGCTAAAATTTAAATGTGAAGTTCAAAGAAACAGCTGTTTTCCAGGTGATAAGCAAGAAAACAATTGAGATATCATCTGTTAAATAAGACAAATTATTTAAAACTTTAATTGCATGCTAGCCCAAAGAATAATTGTTTGATTTTAGATGGCCAACTCTGGGTATGGAAAGTTTTGAAGAAAATCTCAGGCTTGAGCCAGATTTATAACTGAAGATGGAATCTGGATTAAGTCATAGAAAAAAATGGAATGGCATGCCAATCTCTGAATACAGTATTTTCATGACTATATTAGGTAGATGATTTGATCTAGTATAAAAGTAAAAAATATTAATATTCTCTAATTGGTGCATACTTAACATATTTCAATCTTATTACTGAAAATAATATAGCCAAAAATTAAGATCCTGCCTAAGCTCTTAAACTTTAGAGAATGTGTTATTAATTTCAGTATTGTGCTATAAATGGATCAACAGTTAAAATAAAATATTGGCAATAATCATATTCAAAATATTAATAATTATTCCACATTTTACATATCAGAGGTATACATTTCTATTCAACTAAAGTTTTATTAACATATACACAAAATAAAAATACAACCATTAATGACCGTTCAAAGTTACAATGGCACTGAAAAAAGTGACATGATGTTTTTCAAAGTTATGACCATTGCACCATGCCCAGAATCACATGATCAAAATTTGGATGTTTGGCACATGGCATGATGGTTGGGGTAAAATGTGTAACTTTTTGTAACTTACTGACAAGCAAGTCAATGGGGAAGCCAGATTCAATTAACAACAGTGTTACTAATTTAACAGTTGCAATGATTCATTTAACAACTGGGGCAAGAAAGGTTATGAAATGTGGCAAAATTCACTTTAAAACTGTCTTGCTTATCAACAAAGATTTTTGGCTCAGTTGTGGTTATAAGTTGAGGACTACCTGTACCTTATTTGATAGGTTGAATCAGGATACATAGCTTACAATAGAAAGGGGCTTGACACGGGTTGTTTTTTTTAATTAAATGGTGCCCAAATATTTTGGAAGCGAGTTTGCCAATCTAAAAATACTTTTGTTCACATTCTTTTAAGATGCTACAATTTAGCATTTTGGAAAACTTATTGCAGCTTTCCAAAGCTGACATTAGTTCTGTCTCTTCTAGTTGCTAGTATGCAGAATTTGCATATACTTTTTTAGATACTTTCACTCTCGTTCTTTACAAGCGATGCAGCTTGTAAATACTATAAAGATACCACAATTAGCCACACTATAGCAACTAAAGTCACAATTTATTATTTTCATAATATCAACAAATATATATATATCATATATAAATCATGTCCATAGGAATTTAGTACCCTAGTAATTTTATATATTATTATTTTACTACAGCCATAATGTGTTTCTGCTTTTCTGACACAAGTGGTATAGATCCAGGCTTGCTATGTTTGCGACGGTTCAGTTCCCTGGAAAGAGACATTAAAATATATTTATATATTTCCTTGCTTAGAAAATAAAGTTACTACTACATAACAAATATTCATATATCACAATGTATTATTATACTTGGAATACAATTAATACATTTAATATATTAGGTACTAGATTATGATCCTGGAAAAGATATAAATTTTGTGACATTCAGGGCAGATTCAATTAAAATAAAAATAAAATTTGGAATATATAATCAATATTCTCCTATATATGCTGTGCGCTGGGCTAATATAGCTCTTGTTCAAAGATAACATCTCCCATTTGTACAAAAGATGATTAAATTAACAGATGAATTCTATTCAGGTAATTAAAAAAGGTGGCATGGCATCTACTGCTACCTGAACAGCATTAATTTCTGTTGTATCAGAACAAGAGCTCAAGGAGTCCATTGTCCTTTTTGCTGTCCTTCCCACCTCAATTTAATTAATAGGATGAATCTGATTGGGTAACCTAAAGAAAAGCTGAAGCTCTATTTGGAGACTAAGTTAGCCATTAGATTCTTACACAGATACCATCACATCAGAATTCAATTCTGATGACTGCATGGGCAAGTGCTGACCATCTCAATCTGTCTCTCATAATAACCTGTCGTTCTTCCAGGACATTCCAGTAATGACTCTGATCCTATTCCCCTTCATTATCCATTGTCATCCCCTTCTAATTCCCTCAACATGGCCAAGCTAATTATTTCTATCCTATTGACTTAGATACTCCAACTAATTGTTTCAGCAAATACATGTTATTATGGAATTAAGCTTGGAAAGGAAACAATGTATTGTCCAATCCAACGTCCTATACTTTAGAAATACATCTAATAAATCAAAGCATGTTACTGTCAGATTAGTTTTATAGCCAACTGGAAAAGTCTCTCTAGAGAATTCCACAGTCCATTCAAAAGTAAATAGGCAAATGGAAAGAATAATAGAATACATTCAATTTTAAAAAATTAAATAAAACATACTTTCGCCGACGAGCTTCTTTCATGATGCGTAGCTCTTTGGCTTGACTATAGATCATCTTCGGTAAGTGACGATGGCGATTTATACGTTTGATCTGGGGATGATGCTGGAATTTTTCTTTCAGTTTCTGATTATAGTTAATAGCAGCTCTCTCTCGAGGAGTAAGCTAGGGGAAAAATCATAATATTAAAACATATTTAACAATGATGAATTCCAAAATACCAGAACAGATTTATGAATGTGCAATATTTCATGAAATCTTATTACCTTCTATACACTGGATAAAGTCATGGAACTGCAAGATCTCAAAGGATAGCACAAAGTAATATTTGGCAAATAAATCTTAAATTGGACACTGATGGGAGGGAGGGAAGGAGGGAGAGAGAAGAAGGAAGGAAGGAAGGAAGGAAGGAAGGAAAGGAAGGAAAGGAAGGAAAGGAAGGAAAGGAAGGAAGGATAGTTATACATTTATACTGAATTCAAAAAAATTGATTTTAACAGGGAAAATCTCTGAGTTATACATCTTTGATTATCTTTATTCCAATAGAAAGCTTAAATTCAATAAAAGTCAATCTATTTCATTCTGCTTAGCCTGGTTGATAAATCCCTGACGATTTAACCATGTTAAATGAGAAAAAGTCCTTATTTTGATCATCAGAATGATGCAGAATATACCTCAAAGTCCAACTAGATTTAACCTAGCTCTCAAGCAGAAGAAACATAATTCTTTTTCAAAAACTGCTCATTTAGAGAGACAGACTAAACATTAACCTTTATTAGCTGTAGGAGGTATTTTCCACCACCCATCGTATTTCACTTCTTTTGCTTAGTCAGCAGTATATTTCAATCATCCCTATTGTGCAAAATGTCAATACAATCCAAATTAAAAGGTTTTCATTTTAATTAAAGGCAATTACATTAAAATGGTAGCTGACACAACACTATTTCTTTCAAAGGAATTAGCCTTTTTAAAAATATTCACAGCACGTCTGACTTGATACTACTCATTCTAATTATGAAATGAAGCATATAGAAGAGTAAGAGTGTGCTCTTAAACAATCAGTGACCAAATTTGTAAGCCCAGACAAGCCCATTTTAACAAGGGCTTGTAATTAGCAAGGTAGCACTTCATATTGCAACATTTATACCAGCTTTTATTTATTTCCATTATTTATATGCTGCCAATATTATAAAAATTCTAGGCAATTTATAAAGATAATAAATTAAGATGACACACAAGTCTCCAAAATTCAACAGATTATGTTTACAGGTAATCCCTGATACATGACCAGTTATTTAACAGCCATTCAAAGTTATGACAGCCTCAGGAAGGGTGCTTTATGGTCTGGAGGCTGTAAGCATCACAAATCTGAACCAGCTGCCAGATACCGAAATTGTGATCATGTGACAACTGGAGTGTTGACAGTCATAACTTCAAAGGCATATCATAAATCACCTTTTCTGAGGCCAAGATAATTTGGAACCATTGTTAAATGAACAGTCATAGTGAAGACTATGATCTTTTGGACAAAATCTTGCCTGAAATGGAACCAGTGAATCAGTTTCATCCAGGTGCATATGGAGCCGGGAAGTCAGTTTATCATTGTCTTTTAATCATTTTGTCTAAAAAATGAAATAGATTGGGTCTATATTACTTTATCATTGGGTCAAGGGAGGCCTCTTACCAAGAACTTTATGACTGCCTCTTTTAGGAACACGTGCTATGCTCAAGGAGGTACAAATCACTCTGCTTAACCAAGAAGCCAATTCCAGACTATTTGATCAGTCAAGAAAGGCAAGGATTGAGAAGGCAATCAACTGCTTTTGTTTCTCCACAATACTGTCCATACCCTTAAGATCTACAACCTAAAAAAAAATCAGAATACTACAAGGCCCCAACCACTCTAAAGTAGCAGCAAATACACGGCACTGGCAGACTCTTACATAGATGAGATGGAATTCCATAGCAAACTATGACTGACCCAAAGCTGGCTTTCATTCCTAAGGTGGGAGTAAAACTTGCAATCTCCTGGTTTTCTAGCCTAATGCTTTAACCACTAGCCCAAAAATACTCTCTTGTTTAAGACAAAATAATTACAATGAATTATGGTTATTACCAAGATTTAAGGTTAACAACCAAGTTTGCTTTAAGGCTAACAATGAATTTGCAGTTACTTACCACACCCAGCTTTTCAGAAGCATTTGCTTTCCACAAACGAATGTTCATTTCATCAGAGCCACACAAAATGTATTTATTGTCTGATGTCCATTTGACAGTGATGACATGTTGCATTCTCTTTGTATGATAAACCTCCCTAAGAATAGAAAAAATAGTTTGTTTTATCTTTTAATTAGAAATATTTTACAATATTTTTACAGCATTGTACAGCTTTTTGGATTCAGCTCCAAAGTGTGATTGGAATGGTGCAGAAGCATATAAGTAGCATATGAAAGATGTTACATTTGTGATACCAAGCACTTTTTACAGATTTATCCCAATAGCTATGCAACCCTAATATTTCTAAAAATTATCTGATTATACTGATTTCTATTATCAGGCAAATACCTGAAGTTAAAAAGTCAAAATAATAGATATGAACAGGTGGGTTGGTAATAATCTATTTCTTTGTTTGAAATCAAATAAAATAATTTTAGAGAAAATTAAGAGATTCAGAGAAATTAACCATCTTTTATTATTAAAAGTGTTTTTACTAGCGAGCAGAAAAGTGAGGATACAAAAGAGCAGCTATTTGTTAACTCAATCCCATATTTGCCTTACATTTCAGCTTTTGTTTTGGCTTCTGTGAAAATAATCAATTATATTGATTACCAGCTCTATACCCGTACGAAACTATGTGATGGGGCTTAGTTTTGTGGGAGGAAAATAAGGGGGGGAAATTGTGCCTCTGCCTACCAGCATCCATCAGTATTCATCTGGCTAGCGTCCAAGCAATGTGTGAGAGATTTGAGGGCTGTTTGAAAACTGAAACAATATTTGCTGTGTGAGCAAGGAGGAGACAGCAAGGAGCCTGGGCCTGGCTTAGCTCAACTGTTCTGTACTAAAGCTGGATGCTGCTGTGCAACTGAAACTGAAACTCCTCTGCTTGTGTTTTGCATTTGGAACAGATTTATTTTCAGGTGGGGAAGGGGAATAGAATTCCTTAGCATCAGAGCGTGCTAATAATATACAAAAAACTAATGCTCTGATTATCATTTCAAAAAGTCCTTTTTTAGTGAGCACCTAGAAGCCAAGAGGAACATACATGCCAAATTTCAGGTTTGAAGGCTTTACGGTTGTGGAGATTTTGTGATGATGCGTGAGTGGTATTTAGCTTTTATACATATAGATGATAACTATGTTGAGAATGAGCATAACCATTCCATAACATTTTCAACTTTCATACAACCATTAAAAACCTCATTTCAAGGATGCCCTCTTAAAACCAGTCTAATATTAAACAAATGATATATTTTATAATAGTCATTACTTCCTTAGTAACAAATTAATATCCAATTTTCTTAGGCCTTATGAAAGAAGGCCTTGGTCAGCCAGCAAAAGAAGACTGGTCTGAAAGAAGGCTGCAACGGCACAAAAGAAGACCCCAGTTTGTAGTGGCCCATGGTACAGGGCCAGGCAAGAGGGGCAGCTGGCAATAGAATGCAGGCACAGCCTAAAGGGCGGGGGGGGGAGATATATAGATGGAGAGGAAATGGTAGAGTTCTTTCCTTTCTTCCAAGAGTAGCTTGGATCCAGATAAATCCTCACCTAACGACCATGTGGGATTCATTGATTAGGGTCAACCTTTATTGGGATCATTAAGTGAAAACTATTTGTTTATAGCATGGAACGAGGTTATTTACAGGAGCATCTTTCCCTGAGTACATTTCCTTTCATCTTTTCATTTCAGGTAAGGTCGGTATACTCCTGGTCCCTTCCTTTAAATGCTGCCATCTTATAGGACCCAGGAAGAGTGCGTTTTCTATGGCAACCCCCTGCCCTATGCAACATCCTTCTCTCTGAATTCTAATAGCCACTACCCTTTAAACCTGAAAAGCATTTTCTCCTAAGCATTCAGATAGTGTGTGCTTGGCATGTGATGCGCATACTGTGAGCTGCTTCAGAAAGTTTACTTATGGTGCCAGAGTTTTCTTTTTTGTTTTACTGTCTTTTATATTACTGTTGTTATATATTGTCCATCCTTGGTTGTGAGCCATTCAGGCTTTAAGATAGGCAGCCATGTAAGTGTTATAAGAAATTTTAAAAAAATGTTGGAACTGATCTAGCAAAACCAACTATTCCTCTTTTAAAAAACATTTTGTTCTTCTAACGGGTTTTGAAAACAAATTACTTATAAAGGACACCTGTAATAGAATATCATAGGGATGAATAAACTGATTCTTTCATTTAATCACTCAAACATCTGGCTCATTTACCAAAAGCTCTTAATAAAATTAATAAACAAAGTATGTCTTGTTTCTTCTGACTTCTAAAGTTTCACATTCAGAGTTTAATTAGGAACATAAAATAAGCCCTGGCATCTGGGGCAAGAGCACTATGATAAAAACCTATATAATTAAATCCATAAATTTAACATGCTTTTGCTATGTATAGAGTTATGCATATTTATGAGACCCAAAGCTTTTGAAGGGATATTGTCAAAAACATAGTAGAGCCTTGAAAAATTTCAAGAAGAAACTCCCAAATGAGAGTATGGATATAAGCGTATTGAAGAATTCTTTAGAAGCTCTATTTGTTCCCAAGCTGAAATTAACTGTAAAAGACATCTCAAAACATTTTAAGAAAGAAATTAGCAAAACTGCTTCCAATTTTTATTTAGTTGTTTCTGATCTGTATTCTAGAAGCCAGCTGATATAAACTATTTTAAAATATTAATGCAAAATCACACTATGAATGTGAGTCTTCTTTATGAGATTTCCTGTGCCCTAAGCACATATATCATAAAACCTACATTCTACACAGCTGCAGCAATCATGCCAACAGCACTAACTGCAAAAGCATGAAAAACTACAGATGACATCTTGAAAGTCTTGTTGAAAAATCTGTATTAAATCTCTACATCCATTACAACTTTGTGCACACTGTGCTGCTGATTCATCAGCATGTAACCCTTTCAATAAGCAAACCATATTTTCTATTTCCTCCAGATATGAAATTGATTTTAGTGCCCATTTCAGCAGTCAGCATCTAAATTCCTCCACTTAGCAATAGTTAGATTGCACTTAACAATAGCTTAACTTTCTTGACTGGTAATTTATATGGCATAGTTGGAATCATGCTGAAAAAAACAAAAAGTCCTGAGTAAATACAAATTATCTACACTGCTGGATTCTGTCCTATGCTAGTTCACTCTGTATGAGACACATGGAACAAATCAGAAGATTTTTGAACCCAAAACATTTTAGTCCGGCCATTTTTATAACAGTATCAATGAATAGCAGAACAAAACACTAAAATGCACCCGTAAATATTTCACAAGGAGCCATGTGGCACAGAGGTTAGAAGGCAGTACTTCAAGCTAATTCTGCTGACTGCCGGCTGCCAGCAGTTTGGCAGTTCGATTCTCACCAGTCAAGGTTGACTTGCCCTTTCATCCTTCCGAGGTCGATAAAATGAGGACCCAGATTGTTGGGGCAATATGCTGACTCTGTAAACCGCTTAGAGAGGGCTGCAAAGCACCGTGAAGAGGTATATAAGTCTGCTATTGCTATATCTTTACAAGATATTCAATATATTAAAAAGAAATTGAGACATTTAAAACTGGCAGCAAAGGACAAACTCCAAAAGTGTAATTATTACAAAAAATTCACTGACCTGCTATGACCTTTATCTGCAGGAAAAATGCGAATAGATTTATCAAAGCTGGCAGACACAAATTCTTTTCCTGTAGGGGAGTAATCCACATCCAGAACTGCAGACACATGGTTCATATGAACCATTAAAGCCTTGCCAAGGAACCGCATATCAAAAGTATATAAGCTGCAGGAAGAAACAAAGTTAAAAGTATTACTTCTAATTATTTTATAATTAATTACTTATCAGAACAGTGCCTCTAGTCCTCATTAAACAAATATTTTTTTTAAAAAAATAGCTGAAATCTGTTTGGGAAAATATATCTAAGTTATCATGAAAATGTTCTTGATTTAGGACTGACTGGTTAATGAACTAGGAAACTGAGAATACTGCCACTTTCATATTAAGTGAGCAGAATTATTGTCAAATCTAAACTGCCTTAAATTCAACTATTCTGCTAGATTTTGGGCTAACCCCTAAATTAGTTTGGAAATAATACTCTTAAGCTGTCACTGAAATTCAACTATGCATGAGGAATAGAAAAAAAAATATCTGCTTTGATAGAGGACGACATACTTTGGAATTAGAAGAGGAAACTTTATCAGCATTTCTCATATTATGCTTGAATAGAATCCAGCAAAGTGGCGGCACTCAGCTGTTTTTCACTGATCTCAAAAACCTAAGCATGGCTGGATCTAGTTAGCTATTAACTTGTCGTTTCCCATTTTAGGAAATCCCAAAATTAGATTGAGAAGATAACGGATTCTGGAAGACAGAGATAAATCATTTGTTGGCAAGAAATATGCCTATGAAGTAACTTAGCTTGAAGTGAATTTCAGCTTGCCTACTTAAATAAAAGGACACAAATCTCTTTCCCAAATACATTTGAGTTTTCAGCTTATGTGGAATCCTGATACATAGCCAATTTAGAAAAAAATAAAAGTTCATTGCAGCAGAGAATTTAGAATATAAAATAGAGTGAGTATCTAAGGCAGTGCGACATGGGAAATCTTATATATGGACTGTTTCTCAATACAGGTACTTCTTAATGTGCAACAGTCACAGCACTGGTTGGGGAAGATATGCAAAGACCAGAGAGGGAAAGTATGTGGGAGGATGCACAAGAGGCACTGCATGAGTCAGGAGGATGTGCAATTAGCACCACTTGGGTCAGGGAGGGTACACAAAAGGCAGGGGAGAGAAAGTGAGGGTTGGGGAGGGTATACAGGGATGTGCAAGTGGCAATAGCAGCGCCAACAGAGTATCTGCAGGGTTTGCAGGTGGGAGAGACTTACACCAGCAACTTCAAGCTTCCCTGCCAGCTTCCCCACTGACTTCCTGGGGAAGCAGGCAGGGAAGGTTGTAAATGGCGATCCCACAATCAGGAGTTGCTTTGCAATCAGTGCGAAGTGCGAACAGATAACAAATACCCAGATCATGATTATGTAATATGGAGCTACTGGGATGGCCAGAACTGTAAGAACTTGTCATAACCACCATTGATTCAGCAGCATCATAACTTCAAATAATCACTGAATGAGTGGCCATAAGTCGAGGGCTACTTGTAGTGTTCAAAACTTTCCACTGACACAGAATGTGGCAATTCAGATACTAACATGATCCTGGTGCACCAATATTATATCGTAGACTCAGTTCAAACTATTGCTTTTACCATTTAGATCTGATACATTTTAATGGATTACTTTCTTGACCACAATGAACTAACAAAATGGATTTGCACCTGAGGCCAAGGACTGTAGAGGATTATGAAGATAGCTTTGAAGAGAGTCGACAACAGCCATTACCAAATCCTCAGCTTAGATGATAAATACAAGAAACTGAAGAAGAAACTCAAGGTTGCCCCACTTTAATTTTCCTTGGCATAAATGGGAGGGGAAAAGTCGGGGTTTCAAGATTCTGTTATTATATTGTAAGAGCAGAGTTCCAAAAATTCTTATGGCTTCTATTTTCTATTCTGGTCTCAAAAGGATTGACAAGGACTATCCCTTACCAATCAAGATTTGACAGCTAGAGATAAAGGCTAGCATTTGCTCCCCCTCCACCAAGACCAAGTGCTAGATCAGGGATACAGGTTTTTTAATTTTTAATAATAATAACTGATTATTGAGTAGAGTTTTTCTGAATTTGATATCCTCTCAAAGTAGGTTTCATCAAAAATACACCTGTTGGTAAATCCATTCCATTGATATTTGTTCTTGTACTGCTTCCATTTAAATGTCCTGATCAGTATTTTATTTGTAACTGTAATGTACATTTCTAATTATATCAATGTTTAAATTACCAATTTGTTGCTAACAATATCAAGTATCTTCATTCAGCAAAGAGAATAAAATATTGGAAATAGTTCCTCGGACTCTAGCTGGAGTTTAAAATGTCATAGTATTTTAATAGAAATAATTTCCTAATCAATCAGATTACACTGTGCTTATGTTCTCTTTTTAACACAATCTCTCAAGAAAACATTTTGTTAATGGAGCAAATTAAAAATATTATTTATTAATGTTCAAATTATCAACTTTTACACACCTTCTGAATACCTAAAGCAGTCAAAACTTAGAGCAAGCAAAGTCAGTATTTCTTACTTGTAATCCTCATTTGCTGCAGTGAAAATGAAAGCTTCCATAGGATTCCAGCAAAGTGTATTTGTTCTCATATCCAAAATAACCTGAGAAAATGTAAATATTATAAAGTAGGAAAAACAATCAATAGAATTGTACTGTTTATCACAATAAACTATACATTACAAATAAACTGTACAGTAGTACAAAGCAGTACAGAGTAATAATTATTACTCTGGGTTAGTTGTTCTCTCTCAGCCCAACCACCATACAGAGTGCTGTTGTTGCAGAGAATATAGGCAGGAGCACTAGTTAAATATGCCACCTTGAATTGACCAAAGGCAGGATAGAAACCATTAAGCGAATGCACTGATACTGGTTAAAGAACTGTGCAATCTATACAACCTTCATGCTGGTGAAAGCATCAAGAATCACCTTATCCAGATATGTCATAAAACTCAGATAAAAAGGTACAGCATAATAATGTAATTACTGGTAGTCCTCAATTTACGATAGCAATTAGGACTGGAATTTCTGTTGCTAAGTGATGTGACTATAATGCATAACTCCAAATGTAGAAGCCAGCGGGAGCTCAACAATTGGCAGCTGCTGGAGGGGAAGGGACTGAGAAAGGTACAGTGAGACTCAGGGAGATGACAAGGATGTGAGGAAAACACAATGAATTGCACATAATGCATTGAGGCTCAAGGAGGGTGCAAAGGAGGTGTGCTGACTGTTGGGTAGGGTACACATGAGAAGTGAGGCAATGATCAAGGAGGGTGTGCAGTGGTGTGTAAATGGCTGGCACAGTGGCATGGCTAGCAAGCATAGAATCTATGCAAATATCAAAATGAAACAGTATTCAGCACAATTAATATACTTCCCTGCAAATGGGCATTTTTAAGAGCATATCTATTACCTTCTTTAGGGCAGTTGATTGTCTCATATCATACAACACAATATTTCTGTCTGAAGTACAGCTTCCCAAAAGATTCATCTGAAAATAATTATTTAATAACTGTATGTCACATACGGAGGTTTACAGAATTAGAATTTGATTATAATTGCATGACTGTTTAAATATTACTTAGGAAATGAATTTCTTAAATGTAACTGAATTAATCAAAAAGAGATGTAATATGTAAATGACCTACTTTAACTAACATTCATATCCTTAAATAAGTAAACCTTTCAAAGATGTGTATGCAAAACAGCTGATCTTTAAAAAAACTACGTTGCTTAAAAAAGAGCAAGTAAGAAGGATTAAACTCAAACATTTTCTAAGTACTCATGCTGCCAATAATAATCCTTCACCCATTTTTCAACTGTTCTTGTGTAAAGAAGATAGGCTTTCTTATATTTCCCAAATAGTACTTCAGTGAGAACAGGATTCTAGAAAAATGCAGGATTCACAAATGAAACTCTATCCGCACATATTATTTTTAAGCCTCACTGCTCTCAAGCTAAAGTGATAAGCTAGGGCTCCTCCTGTTCCCTCGTCTTGTTGCAGACATTCACCTTCTACAGTTGGACAGCAATGAAAAGGACAGTGTAGCAACACATTTATTCCCCTTTCTCATGAACGGGAGCAGATTGTTACCAGACTTTATAATTCATGCAAACTATAGGTCCTACACATTCCTACACTGGGAACTTCGTAATGAGTACAGAGTAAGCAAACATAAGATTATTTTTTGTGAAACACTGCCCTGCATTCACTTGCCATGAAGTTTGTATACATCTCATTTCCCAACTTTTAATTGTATTGCTCTTCTTTATGCAAACCGTTATTATTGCTATTCAGCAAGCTACTCTTCCACCATTTTAAAAATCTTAATATTTGATCCTACCATAGTTTGCTATCCATGATTCCCAAGTTAAAATTAATTCAGCTTAGCTGATAGATTTATTTTTGCAAACTAAACTGTATCCTTCCTTAAATATCAATTATTTTTTTAAAAGATGTAAAACTACACTTGCTGAATAATGACCATAACTATAAAGACCCTTAAGAACTGTTCAGTTTGAAGACTGTTCTATTCAGATAAATTTATTTAATCAGCTTTTAAGCTCTCCCATTCTCCTTCAGCTTTATTTATGAAGGTTTACCTTTAATTCCTGTGGCAGACAGGGTTTATGGCTGTATCTATGTTGCTAGTATTATTTAATGAAAATAATTTTGGCATCATATATACACTATTGAAATTATTACCTCAATTGGGTTGAATTTAACACTGTTTATGCTATCGACTCCCCAAGTCAAAGAGCATATAGGACTTGTTCTCTGCTCATCCCATATATCAACCTGATGACCACAAGTAGCAAATATAGGTTTCTTCCAATGATGATCAATTCCAGTGTACACTGTCTTGAAAATATAAAAAAAAAACAGAACCAACTACTGATATAATAGTCAAAGATTTTAGATCAAAGACATTAGTAACAGTTTGAGCAAAGAATTTTTTTTGTGAAGGATCTGCTAATAGTTCTTTTAATTGTCTCTATATGGCAAAAGCCATTTCTTTTATAACAAGCTACGATCCAAGAGATTCACCATCATCATGGCAACTGGCTCATCTGAGAACAGAAGGGAGTTCAGATGTTGATTCCTCTCATTAATTCTTGAGCCTATCCATAGCTCCAAGAAGCATATACAGTAGCCTCTTTCCTTACATTTAAAATATTTATAACTGTATAAATATTAAGCTCACTTGGAAGATTTTTAAATTATATACATTATACTACTAGTACATAGCATAACACAAATAATTCAGACCTTTGGCATTTTAGTGAATCCAATATTAGAATGATTCATCTGTGTGCATAACCTATGCCTTCCAGACAACAAACTTCAGTGCCCACCAACTGAGCTAACATGGCTAATAACAAAATATTATAGTAACTATAATTCAAAATAGCTGGAGAGATTCAGGTTTTAGCTATATGGTCATACTTTCAGCAAACCTACAACAACTTAAAAACAAATCACAAATGAGCAGCTACAGTTGGTTTTAATAGCTGCTGCTACAATTAATAGTTAAATCAAAGCTAAACAATGACTCTTCTCTTAATCGAACTTCCAGAAAGTTTTACAGCTGTATATTAAACCAATCTGTTTCACTTCTGTTAAAGGAAATGAAAAATCAGTTACAGAAAAAAATCAGGGTTTTAAGTTTGTACATTGCAAAACAAATTAAAGAAAAAAACAACATAATTAATAATTAGTACCTTTCCAAGAATGGTATTTATTGGTTCTTCTGCTTCCCCATAAGCTGGTGCTTCCATTTTCCAGTGCTTTACTGTTTTATCATCACCCACCTAATTATTTGGAAAAACAAAATATTACTTTTTTACAATATCAGCTATTTATACATATATAACAACTCTGTTATTCTATTCTATTCCTACAACTGAAATTTCAATTCTGAAGCCTAAAAAAAACTCTAGAAAGGGCACAGGCAGTCAATCAAGTCATATATATGCTCTGTAAGACCATCCACAATGCATCTTTTCAGCTTTGAATCCAAAGCATAACACATGCTTAGTAATAGCCTTAGAGACAGTCCTTTCCTTTTTAGGTTGAAAGCATTATCTAAATGAACATATTGATCTATGAATATATACAAGAAATCCAACCGATTAAGTAAATACAGTGCCAGTTTTGTTTTCATATTGTTTTTTTGCTTTGTTTTGAACATGAAGAAATATTCTCTTATTCCATTTGATGTTTATTCCACAATCTTGGTGTTTTTATAAAATAAAATTTACAGAAAAATAAGCAACATCCATTCAACATATTTCACTGAAGCAATGTAGTGAACTGTATCAATGCCATGAGTCAAGACAACTACTTTACCAGAAAGATCTAAAGAAAGTAGGATATATTCTATGTAAAAATACACTGAATCAAGCAGCACACAATATCCAAAAAAAAAAAAATCCAAATGGACTAATATACATAGTACTTTATGGAATAGTTTTTAAATTATCATAAATTCATATTCCCACCAAACAGGAATTATATTATCTACAGTGAAGCATTATACAACATTATACCAGGATACAATTACTAAATTGTTAGGGAGAAGCAAAACTAACAGTTGCACAATTTACTAAATGTTTAAATCACATTTACTTTTCCATTCTAGCTACCTATTATCTTCAAAGAGAAATCTAGCCATTTATTTGTTTTTTGCTAGTTTTGGAACTTCAAAGACATGAACAAGTTCTGCCACAAAAGGGTATGTTTATCTCACTACTTGCTTTATACTTCCAGGAAGAAGAGTTTATATTGAAAGTGAAACATTGTCACAAAAAATAAACTATAGTAAGAATTAGGAATTGTAGATGAAAAGTGCTACAATGTATAAACTATAAGCTCAACAAAATGCTGCACAAAACATAGAAAAAAGCAACAATAAGCAATAAATATCACTCCTTAATTCCCAAAATTACTCACAGTGAAGAAAGAGGTGCCACAAAAACGGGTACACATTCCTCTTACAAAGCCCTCATGTGCTTGCAATGTACGGATGCATACACGCTTCATCAAGTTCCAGATTCTCACCTTATAAATCAATGACATGCTTATATCATAATAATTCATAATGAAGTGTATAATACAACTGTTCATCTTCATGTGAAATTTGGAAATAGACAATATTTAAATATATACCAGCATTTTACAACAGAAGCAAACGATCGTTCTGGGAGTTGAGCAAAAATAAAGCTGAAGAGTATCAGGGAATTTTTCTAATGGTTAAATTTCATTTCATTTGAGAGTTTAATTTTTCCATAGATTTCAGATAAGATTTTAAATTGATGCAAGTCAGAAACCCAAGGCTGAAACTTGATAATTTTCCAACAGTTAACATCTTATTTCCATCAGTCGAAATAGAAACAAATCCAATTCAGAACTAAACATTTGTACATCTTTGGGGATATAAGCAGGGAAAGACATGGGAACTGTTCAGATAATATTGCCTTTAATCTCTATATACTTCCCATGCTGGCTAGAAAACAAAATAAAATTAGCTTTCAAATCCCTTTTATTATAACTTAAATTATTTCTAGAGGTCACACATTTCCTGTTGTATTTTTTTTTCGTCACACACCTATATCTTAGGAAAGAACAACATTAGTGAAAAAAACAAGAACAAAAGTGATGGCAGCCATAAGCTACAGACTCCTGATTTGTTGAAATAACCATAAGGTTTTAAAGCAGGGATGTCCAACCTTTCACCTTCCCTGGGCCACATTAGAAGATGAAATTTTAAATTAAATTAAATTAAATTAAATTAATAAAATAAAATTATTATTTATTATTTATTAAGAATTATTTATTTTTTATTTTATAATTTTCTGGCCAAATTTTGCGGGGTGGGGGGGAGGGGGGGGAAGAAAGCTCTCACGCCTCACGCCTGCCTCTCCTCCTCCTCCTCGCTGGATCTTTCATGAAAGCTGGGGTGGGCGTTGGGCCGCATTATGAGGCGACCTGGGCCGCATGCGGCCTGTGGGCCGCGGGTTGGACAAGCCTGTTTTAAAGCAAGTCTATAGTCTATGTCACAGGAGAACAGTTAGCAAAATCCATGAACCACTCAACAATCTCTAAGAAAACATATGCTTCAGTCATCTTAAAGTAATATTTACCTCTCCATCACATGCTCCAGACAGAACTGTAGACAAGCTCTCTGGATGTTTAGCCATGCAATTAACTCCATCCCTATGGCCATCTAACGATGCAAGAAAAGGTTTCGCAAATATACGATCTAATTTAGTTGCATTTAGCGCCCTTGTGTATTCCCGTGGAATTTCAAATGGGTGTAATGCCGGATCGTAATTTCGTGGAACTAGAAATAAAGTGAAAAACACATAAATAAACATATTGCCATCCATGAAGGTTGTCTTTTTTTTTTTTTTTTTTTTGGTGACCAACCCAAGATTATTCTGGAAAATAACTTTTTCCCACCTTAGATTTACAATCAAATTCTTGATGTTTTAATGTGTGCATGGAGAAGTTCCCGAAGTTTTGCAAGTTGTTATTTTTTTTTTTCAGAAATGGTTTGCCACTGCCTCCTTTTTTGAGCTGAAAGGGGGTGACTGGCTCAAAATCACCCAGCTGGCTTTGTACCTGAAGCAGCAATACTGAGGCTTTGTACCTGAGGCAACACTATAGACTTGCTTGGTACCTGAGGCAGAACCACTTACAACCAAAAATGGCTCTCAATTTATAGGGTGCATCTTTCAAATCCTAATTATGGCGACATCCCCACCCACCACCCACCCCCAAGAATTGAACTCCATCGATGGCACCTCGCTATCTAAAAAAACGGGGCCTAGAGACAAAGGAGACCAGGGCTCAGGCGGAAGGCTAAATCCAACCTGTTAATTCTCCAGATCAGAAAAAAAAAAAAAATCTTCCTCAGCCTGACGGGAACTGGGCCAGGCGAGAAAGTTGGTGACGAAAGCAACAGGTCCCCTTCATAATTCCGATTAAAGCCAGGGGTCCCCAAACTTGGCAACTTTAAGACTTGTGGACTTCAACACCCAGAATTCTCCAGCCAGCATAGCAGTCCACAATAGCAGTCCTCCAGCCAGCATAGGTCCACAAGTCTTAAA